CAAACAAGCAAGATGTCTGGCTCTCACAGACCTGTAACTACGTCTTTAAGGGAAATTTTAAAGATTCAATTCAAAATTGCACAATTGGTGGCTGACTAAATACTTTTTTGCCCCACTGTACATGCAACTATAATTATTTATTCCCAAATATGAACTTACATGCTCGTAAAGACAAAAATATAAGGAGAGTTTATTTAACTGAGTAATTCTCAATTACAAAAAAATTGAGAAACACTGGCTCATAGGTTAATGCTTGCTTGTTCCATGTAATGGATAAGAACTTAATACAAATGCTGAGTAAAGCAAAACATCAAAATATTCTTAGCAATAACTGTTTCAAGACACAGTGTTCTGGACTAAAAATGCCTGTTTTGAGGTTAGACCACTCCCAGAACACAATGAACCACTGCTGGTCTGAAGGATTTATTTTTTGAAAATGCTGAATTACCCCCAGATTGTTACAGTCCAGAAATAAGAATAAATAAATATAGCTACAAAAAGGCAAATGAATATTGAGGCTGCATTTACAGAAATGTAGTTTCCAAACCAAGGGAAGTAAGTGTTCTACTTTATTCTGCAGGAGGCAGACTCCGCTTTGAGTTTTGTGACCCATACTGGATAGCACACTTAAATAATGATTCAGACTGACTAGAATAGAGAGATTGAAGGAGCCATGAGAGGACTACAAAAGAATGTGATACTGCTTTTCGAAAACCTGAAAGTATATCACAGAGAAGAAAGTCAAGACCTACAGCCCAGAGTACTATACCCAGAATAATAGACTTAATTTACAGGAAGACAGATTTTGACTCTTACAAAAACTTCCTAATAGTAAGAACAGTTCAGCAGGGAAACTGACTGCTCAGAGAAGCTGTTGGCTCCCTTTCACCAAATGTGTTTTAAGATGAGCCTAAATAACCAATGATTGGAGATGATTAAATTTGAATTCCTGCACAAATCAGGAGTTGATCAATGGCCTATGTGGACCCATCCAACTCTATGATTCTAATAACATTTTAATAAACAAAAAATGATTAACCAGGGCTTTGGATTATTGTATGGAGTTCAATTAAATGGCTGCATCTGCTCATCACTTTTACCATGACAGTCTCTCTGTGGTATTCCTTCTAGCAGGAGCTGTTAAAGAACCTCTGAAATCTCCTTTCATGGCATATTTAGCACAACATGGAAAAGAGGATCCTTGTCTCTTTCCCCCCCATAAAACAAGTCATAAATTAATCAAGAACAAACCATGGTTATCAATTCTGGTTTGTCACAAAGGTAACACAAGACTTCTCTACTTGCAAACACTAAATAAATCACAGGAGGTTTTGTAATTTGTTAGCCACCCCCACTAATGGGAGAAGCCAAGTTGCACTAGTAGTCACTCCCACTAGTAGGAGGAGCCATTTTTTTAAGAATTGTGATTTAACAGTGCAGTAGTGAAAATGGAATATCAATTTTTTTAAGAATTGTGATTTAACAGTGCAGTAGTGAAAATGGAATATCAAATTTAATGCTCATTCAATAGCCTAAAACTATCTAGCTAAAGCCCATAAATGAATCAGCATTAAAAGATTCTTTTTCCATAACTATTTCTAGCTGCAAAAGTTGTAATCAGGACAGATATGGTACAAGGAAGTGTGACAACCAGCAAAATATTCTAAATTCAAAGGAATTTATTTCCTGTTTTGTGGTTTATGTATGGTTTTGTGTCTATAAGCCACATCAACCATAGAATTTACATGCAGAGTGCTGAACAATGGGGGATGAAATTTAAAAAGAGTTGTTGCATATGGTTACATTTTATCTATATTTGGAAGAATGTATGTATTGGCATTAATATTTAAATTAATGCGTCAGTAGTTTAAATGGGATTAAGAAATCTCATTTATTTCTTCAGTTCCTATCAGACACAAAGTCAGAACAAATATTAAACTGCCACTATTACAATTAAGTCTACAGTTCTGCTACATTTAAAATAATATATAAAATTATTATTCTGTTATTCTCAGTTTCATCAGAGCATGACTAAGCTCACTGATGATAACTCACCCCTTCTGCCATTTTCCATGGAATCCTCTACATTTTGATCAATTCTTGCAGTGGGTTCTAAAATATTATAGGAATGTTACAACCATATCTAATGTGAAAGAGGATAGCTGAAGTGGATAAGGGATCACAACAGAAGTGGGCCCAACCACAAGGTTCCTGCTTTTTTTTCTTTTGATACCACTTATATGAGAGAGTAGAAGGCCTTAATATAGCTATTTCAGACTTAAATGTGAGGAACTATCATGTGAGGGAGGGGGGAGGTGAATTCTCAATCAATAAATCCTTTTTTGGTGTAAGATTTCCTCTCTTCCCCAATACAAATAGGCAACCACAACAGGCAGATCCTAGCTTGAATATAAGCTTAAGTGGGGGATATGGTGCCTATAAATGCCACTACACCTTTTGAACAGCATTTAGGGGGAAATTGCAAAGTGGGGGCTCTCAAAGGCATCAAACAGATTTGTCTGATACATTGAACTTCAAATGCCCTTTACCTATTAATAAGTTTAGAATAACAATATAAAAACATTACCTGAGTTCTTTTGTTGGTTGATCCATTTAAATCAAGTACTTGAACTAGTATAGATCCACTGAAAACTGATTCATGGCCACTGGTACCATTGGGGAAGCATTTTGGAACAAGATTCCAGGGCTCCACTTAACACACGCAGCGAGGCTGTCTCACCATGTTTTGAATAAACAGAATTACATACATTGCCACCTAAATATGGGGTCGACCATAAGTGCAAAGTCTAAAATTGCAAAACTATTCCATTCTTAAGAACACGTGCCACAGATCCGTGTTGGCAAGAGTCCTTTAACCATCTCAAGAGAGCTGAAGATCAATTCAAATTGCACCGAATGAGTTTCAGAGACGTATTCTTAACTACTCTACATCTCTTTGGTCTCCCCGTGTTCAAAAAGATGCAGAACTAAGCCTACCACTGCAGCCTGGACAAGGGATTTTCTTTCACAAGCGCGCGTGCCCACTTCCCTGCAAATCAGCCCTATTGAGCAGAGCATGTGCCGCTTCCAGACAAACATTCCCAGGATCGGTCTGTGTTAACACACAACAGCAAGCTGAGGAGTTACAGGAGCACCAATGGCGTTGACTTTTCACGGTTGGTGAACCGCACTGGTAGAGGAAAAAGGGGAGGGGGGATAGAAAGCAATGCGCCCCTTCCCGCGGTTCCACTTCAAGCGGCAAAGCGACTCAACCCTGCGGGCCCAAGCAGCGCTCAACGGACACGCTAACTTTACGTCCTGACGTGACGGGGACGGGGAGTGGGGCGGATAAGCGCTGGCGACCGTTTTCGGCCAGACCGCCTCCACTCTTGAGAAGCCCCCTACGGAGACTCTCTCCCGTGGCCCGAGGACGGCAGGCTGAGGCACCTGCGGGGAGTAAAGGCGGGCCCGGCGACTTACCGCTCCAGAAGTTCTCCCGACCAAAGCCGTGCCCCCGCGCTCGCCTCATCCGGCGGCGCATCTCTTACGCGTCATCAAGTCAGTTGCTGACAGCCTTTACGGGCGGTTTCAGCGGGCACCACCTTTCTTAAGGGCGGCGAAGAAGGCGAGAATGCGCAGGCGCATTCCAAGGTTCTGCCTCAAAGAAATCTTTTGGAGACCCGCTCCCCAGCCGATTTGTGCGTCTAATGGGAGTAATATATAAATTCACGCATGGGGGGAGGGGGAGGCATCAGTTTTGGAAAAAAAGATAAAAGTGGCAGAAAAGACCACCAGACCCATCCCCTGGGTTTCTAAGCACCGCTGACTGCCCGGTTACCCCGATGCCGACGGGCTGCTGAAGCGCAGTCCAGTAGTTCAGGAGACTGATGAAGGCAGGCACAGAACATGCAGAGATCCCGGGGACAGGCAGGCAGAATTGCCTCCTCTTCTCTCTGTACTCCTTATCCCAGGCTGGCTGGCTTCCAGTGTTCAGAGAAGTATAAGGTTTGGTGCGACTTGGCTCTGCTTACGTAACCTCCGTGCCCAGATCTCCATCCCGGGGGGATATCACATCCTTTCTATTCGCCAGCCAACAATTGCTGGAAAGACTGGAAGCGATTCCCAGGTCACATTTTGGACAGAGAAGATAGGTGGTTTGAGAAAGGAGTGAAGGTATCCATTTATGCCAAAGTGGAAAATCCTCCCCTCAATAGAGGTGGAGGCCTCAGACAAAACTTGTCTCCCACTTTTCCTGCTGCTCTGTCATCAATCCCCAGGAAGATTAAGACCACTTCACAAGTTCACCAGGGAGGCAGCGCTTAACGATCCACTCGGGGATGAGTGAGGGATTAGGAGCAAGACATTCACATCCCAAAGAATCTACTAATCACTCTTCTATTGTCCCTTCAACGAGCCCATCATGCCAGTGAGAAACGCAGCCACCCTGGAAGACATTTATGGGGTCCCTCCTAACCAGCTTTCTGGACTGAAGAAGCTGCTTGGACAAGCAGCGAAACGTATCAAACCAAAAGAAGTCCAGTTGCCATGACTCAACCTCCGGATAATTCCACCTGGGTGACTGAGAATCTTCATCAACATGTTCCCAGGTGCGTCCTCCTCCTTTTCCAAAATCACTCCCTTCTCTAATTACGCCCTGTTCGATTTCACCCTGGCTGGCGCCGTCCCCCTGAACCGTGATCCCCACAGCTTTCAGCTGGCAAGAGCTCTGGAGAGCGCCAGCCGCCCGACGCGCTCGCACCGCCGCCCGACCGCGCTTCAGCCGAGCGTGTCGCGCAAACCCAGCCCACGGCGGGGCGTGCGTAGCATTGGAAGACCGCACGCACGAGCCGAGGACCCGCCCACCTGCTGAGCTTTTTCATATCCCGCCTCGCCGAGGGGGCGCTGTGACGAGCGAGGGCGGCCGGCGCCGGGTGGTGGCAACGGCCTCTCCGCTTCTGGTTCCACCATCTTGCTGTGAATCAGCATCGAGCGAGGAAGCGGTGGATTCGGAGCAACGATGCTGTCGGCCGCTGCCTACGTTGATCCTGGGCTCGGGTTGCACGGAGAGGTTAGACACGGCTCTGCGGTGCAGCATCGCTTCTCCCCTTATACCTTCAATGGCGGGTAAGCGTTTCCCTCGCATACTTCCTCTCCCATTAGACCGATCCCTGCCTTTCAGCAAACCTTCCCCGAGCGGGGTTCGTTTCTTTTTCTCGTGCGCAAGTTGCGCTGCCCCCTCAGCTCCCTGTGCAGTAGGAGGGTGTCTTGTCTTGTTTCTCCTCAAGCTCCGTTTCTTTAATAACTTTTCAAACCCGTCTATAAACCCTGGAAAGGCCTCGAGGGTGGCTTCTAACTAAATGAATAGAAATGATGGTAAAACTCAGTAAGAAAGATCCTTAGAACCACAAAGGCCTTACCCTGACATTAGAAATAGCAGCAGGGCATAACAGTGTCGGTTTAGGGATGCATGAAATGTAGGGTTTCTTCCAAAGGCAACCCAGAGATTTCAGCAAGGCTGAATTACCAGTAGTAACTCGTTGAAGTTACCTTGTGCCAGGGCTATAAGTCACGGTTGATTTTCTAAGCCCAGTGCAGTGTATTGGTTTTGACTTTCAAAGGCCTCAATAGTCTCCAAGAGAAGTTTCCTTAGATTTTAGTTTCACTTTTCTTATGTGCTACTGCTTGTTTATTCTTATCCAGGTTATTTAGGGAACCTCAAATATCAGAAGCCTTAAAATATAATAAATAAATATTGCACTTCCATTTTAAAAGCAAGACAACAAACAGTGTTCCTTGAAAGCTTGCAATCTTAGTGCTCTCTATATTTTTTAAATACGGATAGAAAGAGATTAGGGAAAATTTCCAAGTTAAGTTAATAGCATCTGAACTAAAGGAGGGCATCTTGAGGCCTCAGAGTGAAAAGAGGCCCCAAAATCTCCATTCATGCATAGTTGTGGTAAATTGGAAGAACAGTTTCCTGCCAATTTGAGTGGGAAATGCACACTTTAGGGCAAGCCTTAAAATAGGATGAATGTTGGAGGACTTCTTTAATGTTTCTAAAAAGTAAACTTCTTGACACAACCCTCCTCCCTCCCAGTGTTCTGTGCCCATATGTATCACTAGTGGAAAGTAATGCCCCAGCCACCAAAAAGTTATTGAACCCTGACTGAAACCACAGATCTTTACATTCCGTGGCTGTGAACAGCTGAAAATAATCCTGTCACTTTTTTGAAAAAAGTCAGAAGTGCACAGCTAAAACTAAAATCCCACATGCAAGATTCCAGAGTCATTTAAATGAATGAATGCTAAACAATTACAAAAAAGTAAATTATTTCTCTTCTGTTGCTCAGGACCATATTGGCAATTGCTGGTGAAGACTTTGTTGTTGTCGCCTCAGACACCCGACTGAGTGAAGAATATGCAATTCACAGCCGGAACAGCCCTAAATGTTACAAGCTGTAAGTTTAAAGCAGTAAATATTTTGATGAGTTTGATCCAGGTTTAGTCATATCTGGAACAAACCCGTTAAAACCATTTATTTCAGTGTCTCCAATGGAAGAGAATATGTGGAGTCCTTGGTGCTCTCTGAGCTTGGTTGTTTGATTCCTGCATGTGACCGATGGGTCTTGATGAAGTTAATGGCCCCGTCTAATTCTATGATTCTGGAGTATAGTTATTTTGGAAAGACTTTTCATTTGCAAATCAACTATGTCTGCAAGTAGTGAAGAATTAAAAACTATACTATTCAGGTTATATTTATACATTTTTTATTGGTTCTATGATTGCTCTTTTTCCAGGAAAATTATTAGAATGGCCTCTCTTGGCATGGAAACACAACCTTATAGATGCGACTCTGTTGCCAAATTTGTATTCCAAGATATGAAAATCTCAGAGCAACTTCTGCTGTATTGTCAGTGGGTCCTGATTTAGAGTTGTCTAAATTTTCTGTACATTTTTAATAATGAAAAATGTATTTTGAATTGTTTTATATTTGAATATCTATGGCCTTTCACTTTCTATTTTAAAACTGTGAACCAGTTTGCATGTCATTATAAATAATAAATCATGTTTGTGGAGACCATAGTGCTCTCTGAGCTTACCTGTTTTCTTGCAGACATTTTATTATCCAACTAGGTAACATCATCAGTGCTAGTGAGTGTGGGGTTTGCTCTCTGTTCATAATACAGTAGCTTGCCCTGCCAGTGTTGGTGAGGGAACGGTTTTCCCCTTGGTTATTTCCATTATGAGGATATTGTTTTCTACTTGATTGTTTGTCTGTGTAAATCCCTGCTTATCTGGGTGTAGGCTGCTGGAGAGGATGTATTCTGGTCTTTTTGTTTCCTTCTTAGCTTTTTTATTGTCTCTTGAATGGTGTGTAAATGTGGCTTATCCCTGTGTGCCCAAGCTTCCAGGATTTCCCTAGTGTTTTTGGATTTAGCTTGGTCTAGGATGCTCACAATTTCCCAGTTGAAATTATGGTTGAGTCTGTCCACGTGCTGTGAGATTAAGGAGTTTTCATCATGTCTTCTAACTGCAAGTTGGGGTTCAGCATTTCTTTTTCATGGTAGCCAGTGAAATGCCACTGAGTAGTTCTTAATCAGGATAGAATAAAATAGTCCTCTGTATTGTTTATCCCCGGTAAAGGGTATTTCGGGGGGACGCGGTGGTGCAGCGGCTTAATGACACTGAAAGTTGCCGGCCAGAAATGGTCGATACTTCAGCGGTTCGAGCCCAGCCTTTGCATTAGCAGGGTGAGCTCCTGTTTCCTCCCCAGTTCCTGTCAACCCAACAGTTCAAAAACTCATGTGAATAGATAAATGGGTACTCTCACTCCGGTGGAAGGAAAAATGCTGGCGGCGCCTTGCAAAAGGAGACGGGAGCAGTTGCCGGTAGTGCGGAACCCGCGCACGCCTGGAAAAAAAAAAGTGCGAAGCAACGGAAACCCCGCCTCCTGTGCTCGCCAGCTGGGCTCTGCTCTAGGAAGGAGGCACTAGCAGACCACTTCCGAAACACCTTGCCT